CAGTCCTCTAGAAAATACTCCCCTGTAGAGCCTGGAATGGAACTCAAGATTCCCGATTCACCACTCCTCTGCTGTCACCAAACATCAGTAAAACCCACCGGCAAAGGGTGGGTCTCATTCCCCACTAGGGCTGGTCCATATAGACCAGTGGTCCTCACGCTTTTGTACTGGTCCTCAAACTTTTGTACCCTTTCACATAGCAAGCCTCTGAGTGCGACCCCCTTATAAATTAAAAACACTTCTAAATGTATTTAACAGCAGTTATCAGTGGGGGGAGGGGGGGGGGGGGGGGGGGGCCGCCCCCCCCCCCCCCACCTAATAACTTGCCCTCCCTGAGGGGCCCACCCCTTTTTTACCCTTTAAACTTACTATCAGTTATTCCATTAGCTCAAGTGGCAGAGGTCTGGGTGGTGGCTCTAAAAGCTCCAAACCCATTGATGGCCTATCAGGGCGTCAATATGATGCCACATGATGGAATTTCTGTTTTGTCAGTTTGTTTTTTTAAAACCTAGGAAAACTGTTAAAACAAAAGTGTTCCGGTTGCAAGGTCAAACACTCAAAAGTTAGGAAATACCAGAACTAAGGTTACCTGCGCAACCTTAATTTGGCCCACCTGTGCATATGCATTGTGACACAATCTTTAATTACATGGTCACATGTTTTTTCCATAGGACCCCAGCCTCATTTAGTGCACAGGATGGACTTACTCAGGGGATGACTCTGAGTTGTGTAGTAAATGAGGCTGTTGGTTGTAGAACCCCTACACCATTTGTTGACGACATGGGAAGGTGTGTAGGGAATGAAACGGGATTGCAGGAAAAAGAAAGGACAATCTTATAATAAAGGCAGTTGCATGCTGGCCTGGTGAATTGATTCTGTTCCTGCTTCTTGCACAGAGTTCCCGTATGATGCAAGTCAAGTCACAGAGGCCAAACTTTTCACAGGAGGTCACTAATTTTGTGTTCCTCATTTTCTGGGTGCCTGACATGAGACCCTAGGGTTTGATTTGCAGAAGTAATGAGCACTCCCAGCTGCAACTGAAGTCCATAGAAGCTGTGCCTGAATATAGGAAGTGCTGTACAATGCTAAGTGCTCTGCAAAAAGAATCAGGTTCCTGGAGTCTCAAATTGGGCCCCCAAAATTAGTAGAAACTTTTGACCTGAGTCTGTCTCTGCTCCCCATCTATAAAATGGGGAGAATACCACCCCATAGATAAATGTAGGTTTCTGAAGCACTCAGATACTAGAGTAATAGGCACCAGAGAAAAGTCCATAAGGAAATTCATAATTCTGTCCCCAGAGCAGGGTTTAATAGTGTGCAGTAAAAAAGGCCTGGGCTATACATTGAACACTCAGGAGAACACAAAATATTGAAAAGCTTATCATTAAGTGACAACTGTACATTTCGGACACTGAATGAGGCAGCGGTCTTACAGAGAATATAGTGTGGGACCACAGAATTCAAAGCCGTATCGTAGTGCATGCTGTCAAGGTTCCTCCCCCACTCTGAACTCTAGGGTACAGATGTGGGGACCTGCATGAAAAACCTCCTAAGCTTATCTTTACCAACTTAGGTCAAAACTTCCCCAAGGTACAGAATATTCCACCCGTTGTCCTTGGACTGGCCGCTACCACCACCAAACTAATACTGGTTACTGGGGAAGAGCTGTTTGGACGCGTCTTTCCCCCAAAAATACTTCCCAAAACCTTGCACCCCACTTCCTGGACAAGGTTTGGTAAAAAGCCTCACCAATTTGCCTAGGTGACTACAGACCCAGACCCTTGGATCTTAAGAACAATGAACAATCCTCCCAACACTTGCACCCCCCCCTTTCCTGGGAAATGTTGGATAAAAAGCCTCACCAATTTGCATAGGTGACCACAGACCCAAACCCTTGGATCTGAGAACAATGAAAAAGCATTCAGTTTCTTACAAGAAGACTTTTAATAAAAATAGAAGTAAATAGAAATAAAGAAATCCCCCCTGTAAAATCAGGATGGTAGATATCTTACAGGGTAATTAGATTCAAAAACATAGAGAACCCCTTTAGGCAAAACCTTAAGTTACAAAAAAGATACACAGACAGAAATAGTTATTCTATTCAGCACAATTCTTTTCTCAGCCATTTAAAGAAATCATAATCTAACACATACCTAGCTAGATTACTTACTAAAAGTTCTAAGACTCCATTCCTGTTCTGTCCCCAGCAAAAGCAGCATACAGACAGACCCAGACCCTTTGTTTTTCTCCCTCCTCCCAGCTTTTGAAAGTATCTTGTCTCCTCATTGGTCATTTTGGTCAGGTGCCAGCGAGGTTACCTTTAGCTTCTTAACCCTTTACAGGTGAGAGGAGCTTTCCCCTGGCCAGGAGGGATTTCAAAGGGGTTTACCCTTCCCTTTATATTTATGACACATGCACATAAGGAAGACACAGTAAGGTTGCACAGGCAAACGTCATTCTGGCATTTCCTAACTAGTGACTGACTTTGCAGCCTTAATGCTGTTCTTTGAACACAGAAATACATATTACCTGCAAATAGCTATTATCCCTCATGCTCAAAGTTCATTGCAAACACTGAGCGCAGGTACTGGAAGCAGCTTTCACAGCTATGGATTTTGACAGGAAGGAATCAGAACATTGTTAACCTGAAACTGGCCTCTCAGCCTGTTCTGAAGTACCTGCAGATTTATGCTTTATAGCGAGAAGCTGTTGTGGTTGGTTTGGGGTTTTATTTGGGGGAGGGAGAGTTGCTTTGGTTTGGTTTGATCTGTTTGCTCAGTCTTCTCAATTACTGCAGTGGTTTCCAGGGGGGAAGTCCAATCCTGTTGAGCAGCAGAACACAAACAACGCAGTTGTTGATGTGCACCCAGCAGTATGTTGTGTTCTACTGAGAGCATTTGCACTTATGCCTATTAAACTAGGATAGTTTACTTAAGGACATTATACTAAACAAAAAAAAAAATGTACTTTGAAAGGCAGCTATTGGGTGCAAAGAGAGAGAGCTCAAAGGCTCCACTCCCTAAAAATAAATCAAAGTGAAAAGCCATTTGAGAATAATTGCAATAAGCAGTTCTTATGTCCATTAAACCCCCTCAGACAGCCATGCTGGGGGTTATACAGAGTTGCACTGTCCCAGGGGGTGCTCCAGGAGCCATTGTGCCTCAAGGAATCACAATGTGCCCTGGAGCTCCCAGGGAACTAAGGATAATAGGAGGGGAGTACATCCATTGCACCAAGGTACTCCATGTGCTCCCTTCTACAACTGGCCAGCTCCATAAGCTGGTGTGGAGTGGGGAGGAGGCCATGTCCCACTGCCATGGGGGTGACTTGTGCACCAGGAAACACTAGCCAGGTATTTGTACTCAGAAGAGCATAGGAATTGCTATTGTGCCTGGCCTCGGTGCAATGGGGTGGGTGAAGGCTCTTGCATTATCCCTCTCTTGCACAGAGAGGGCAGCCACACTCTGGCCCCAAACTAGCACAATCGGTTATCTCCAAAGACTTGTCTTTCAGCTTATTCCAAACAATCATTTTAACCCACCCATATCACAAATCTAATATGTGAGCTTCTATCATTCTTTTCACACTTGTTTTTAATTAAGAGAACTGGGTAGTTATATAAGAGGAGAGAACTTAGCTTTCAGGAGGTCTCTTTTGCTTTCATTTAGACCAAACATTTAAAACTCTTCCTATTTTGTTTGTGTACAACACACAATATTATAGATCCGTTTTCCACCATTAGGGTTGGATCCAGGTCCTGCTGATGTCAGTGGAGTCTTTGCACTGATGTGATTTAATGGAGCAGGCCTTACATTTGCCATGTCCTCTGTATTCAGCTTAATTATAACTGGTGCAGCAAAGTCACTTTTAAAAGCCTTCCTGGGAATCTAGAGCTGCCTACTGCAGCTGTTGCTAATGTAACACACTCAGTGCCTGGGTGTGGTGCTGCGTCCCATCTAGTGGCACTGAGACCACTTAGGTTAATGAATCTGCTATAGCCTTAGCTAAGGGCCTCATGGCTTTTAGCTCATGCAGTGGAGACTCGTACACTAAGCTCCAGAGGTCTCAGGTTCGATTCCAACAACTGGGGTCTCTCGGTGTTCCACTAAGAGCAAAGTCAGTCCTGCACATCATGAATACCCAGAATTCTCACTGACCCCAGTGGGCTTGAGATGGGAAAGGAATACGGAGTAAGGTCTGCAATCTGCAATTGTCATCTGAACTTTTTCAAAATAAAAAACTAAAGGTTTTGTTTCAAAATAGGATCTTTTGAGATTTCTTGGTGCTTGTCATCTCACTGGCTTGTGTGACAGTAAGAAGTTGATGTAACCCTCAAAGCAAATGCATATGCTTTTTGTCTCTCTCCTCCAAAGGCATGCACAGTAGGATATGGCAAATGTCAGCAGTAATTACACAAAACTGCATAGCCTCTTAGCAACACTAATGTACTATGTGATGCTGAATGTGTGTTATGAAACTTTAAACATTTGTTTGAAAGCTGCTTATTATGCAATAATCTGGGTATTTTTTTTAAATGTGCTGTTTCCAGGATATTAAAGACAGACATGTGAATATGAAAAATGAATTGAAATCTATGAAAAGCTAGTAAGCATTAGTTGAAATGGGCTTTTGTTTTAAACAAGATATGCAGGAGTAATGTGTTTTAAGACCGCAATTAAAGTAACAGGATAGATTTTCTCTACTCATAATGGTTTGGAATTTGACTTGCAAAGAAAGAAAAGAACTGGATCCTAAGAGGATGTAAATTGGCATAGATTTACTGAAGTGAATGGAGCTACACCAGTTTATACCCGCTGAGTTTGTAGCCCAAAAGTGTTCTTTGGGACTAAGCAGTAGCGGGAAAACTGAAGAGCAGTGAGGGAGAAATGGAAGTTACCAACATTCTTGTTTGAGGCAGTAACATTAAAAGACTAGGATTTTTACAGAAGAAAAGTTGGATTTTTCTACATTGATTAACTGATATAATTTTTATCTTCTAGGAACACTGGATGTTCTGAGCTGATCTAGCGAAAATGGGACAAATAATTTGACATCTGAAGCTTTTCTCAAATGGAGGAATTTTGAACAGGAGCCATTAACATCTAGAAGTGGCAGCCTTTTTCTCTGTGCATCCTGGGGCGGGGGGGAGGGGGGAATGAATTTCACAAACTGCACAACAGAAGCCAGCGTGGCTGTCAAACCCAAAACAGTCACCGAAAAGATGCTTGTTACCCTGACCTTGGCCTTAATCACAATTTTGACTATGCTGCTGAACTCTGCTGTAATTACAGCAATTGGCACCACCAAGAAACTACACCAGCCTGCAAATTACTTAATATGTTCCCTAGCTGTGACAGATCTGCTTGTTGCTCTTTTAGTCATGCCCTTGAGCATTACATACATAGTGATGGATACGTGGACTCTGGGATACTTCATCTGTGAGATATGGCTTAGCGTTGACATGACCTGCTGCACGTGTTCAATTCTTCATCTTTGTGTCATTGCACTGGATAGATACTGGGCGATCACAGATGCTATTGAATACGCCAGGAAAAGAACGGCAAAAAGGGCCGGGCTTATGATAGTCACTGTATGGACTATATCCATTTTCATTTCGATGCCACCTTTGTTTTGGAGAAATCATCACAGCGTCACTATTCCCAGCGAGTGTCGCATTCAACACGATCACGTGATCTACACTATTTACTCCACTTTTGGGGCATTTTATATCCCCTTGATGCTAATACTGATCCTCTATTACAGAATTTACCATGCTGCAAAGAGCCTATACCAAAAACGGGGGTCAAGCCGCCACCTAAGCAACAGGAGCACGGACAGCCAAAATTCTTTTGCCAGTTGTAAGCTCACGCAGACATTCTGCGTGTCAGACTTCTCGACATCTGACCCAACCACGGAATTTGATAAAATACATGCATCAGTGAGAATTCCTCCTATTGATAATGACCTGGAGCTGGCTGGTGACCGTCAGCAGATTTCCAGTACACGGGAACGAAAGGCTGCTCGCATCCTGGGACTGATCTTAGGGGCTTTCATCTTGTCGTGGTTGCCATTTTTCATTAAGGAGCTTATTGTGGGCCTGAGTGTTCGCACGGTGTCTGCAGAAGTAGCTGACTTTTTGACATGGCTTGGCTATGTCAACTCCCTTATCAACCCTCTGCTGTACACTAGTTTTAATGACGATTTTAAGCTGGCCTTTAAAAAGCTTATTCGGTGTTGGGAAAATTCTTAAAAGCACCTAAAGGTAGATATAACATGACGCCCTGGCCTTAAGAATGAGTAAAATGAGCTGAATTTGGCAACATTTTGCTTGGTAAAGGGGATTTTTGTGTTTGTCTTTATGCTTGACTTCTCTTTGGCCTGTAACTTGTTTTGCTGTTTTCTACCTCTCATGTTATTATGGTACATAGTTTCAAACACATTTTATTATATTGAGGCACAGAATTCTTGAGAAAATAAACCAAAAACCCCAGTTATCCATTCACTTTTAAAATATCTTATTTAAGCAACAATTTAAAAAATACATATTTATAAAACAAATGGTTGATTTAACTTGCACTATGACATGGAGGTTTAAAATCTATATCCACATAAGTACTTATCTGGTTAAGAATAAACTCAGCTCTTGATCATATCACTTAATGAGTGCAAAGTGAGCTGTAAACCTGCAATGTGGTATTCAGAGAAAACCAGTTATTTTCCTTCTGAATGAATGGTAATTTTCATCTTAGTTTATTCCCAAATAAACCTACTCAGAACACATTCTGCTCTCCTTACACAACTGCTAATCTGGAGTAAATCCAGATAACAGAGCAATACTTGGCTCATTCCTTCTAAAAAAGGAGCCTGGCATATACTCACAGAAAACGTTTTGTTTTAGTTGGTGCCTCTTTAAAGTCACACAGCTAGATTCACACAGCTAGGGAACCCAGCTACAGAACTGGTCCTTATTATTGAAAGTGCTTCCTGTGTGGGCAAAAGAGTGGAGACGCTGACTGCCATCTGTTTTATTGTCAGAAGCCCTTGTCTTCCGGGCCAGGGTCCCCCCAACATGGAGACACCAGAACATCTGCATTCTCTTTCCTTTTCTGAATCACTTTAGGCATTGTGGGGCACAGGAGACATGTATATAGCAATCTTCTGAGCCATGACCATATCTGTGGCTACTGCTTCCTAATTTCCTCCATCGGGAATAGAACCCTGGAACCCTTGTATTGTTCCCAGGAGCAAAGAGGCCAAAACAACCAATAATCTACTCAAATACCTTGGGATACAGACAACACTATCTATCACTTGTCTGCTTAGCTAGCCTGCTTGGACGTCCAGCTTTCCTTTTACATGCAGGGCTCAAAGGGACAATAGGCTGTTCTCCACCCATAGGCAGAGAAGGTATAAGTTCCCTCAGGAAGTGGGGAGGGTCTGGTACTTCCCTGTTTGTCGATACAAACCACTGCCAAGGTATTGTTGGCCATAGCTAGCACAGCCTGGCTGACAAGGTTGGGCACTAATGCCATTAAGGCATATCTGGCTGCTCTGAACTTGAAACAATGGTTACATTGCTGGAACTCCCTTCTTGTCCTATATGGACTTGGTCCCCTTGAGGATGGCACTGGTTGTCACCACAATGCTCTCTGACTCTGAAACTTCTCCTGCAGCTGCCAAAGCAGGGATCTGGAACCTTTTTGGCACTGGCATCAGGGAGTCAGATGACTATTTCTGGATTTCACTCCTTCCTGGCAGGGCAGGGGTGCTAATCACATGGCCCTGTGCCAAGGGGGCCAGTGTGTCCACTGTTTGTCCCTAGGGCTCACACATCAAAGAAGGGTGCTCAATGCTTTACATGCAGATGGGCTCCAGAGGTGGCCCTTTGACAGAGGCTCATGCCTTGGCCATTGTGTCCATACTCCCTCCTCTGCTGGTGTTTAGAGCTGCACCAGCTGTCTGAAGGGCCCCAGCTGGGCAGGGGTTGTGGGCACCTTACACAGCCATGCCCCTCCAGTTAGACTTTCTACTAGAGGGAACCTTTCCAACACTGTAACACAGGGGCAAATATAGCCTGTTTTAAATTCCACACACACCCGTTCACCTCTCTCTGCCATGAGAAGGAGAGGGGAAAGGGACTGAAGTGGCTGCACTGGGGAGAGGCACTTCAACAGGAAAGAACCCAGAGCATTACCTAGCCCATTAGCATAAGAGGTTAACCTACCAGTGCTATCTACAGAATGTGAAGAGCTTTACTTCTCATGCAACAGTAATTTCTTGATATAAAGTATTAGGTGGCCTGTTCTGATACTTGTCTAAAGAGAGAAGTCGTGCTAGAGGATAGAAAATTTGCTAATCACTCTTTTCCGGCAGCTATGGTAGGTATGCAGGCGGCTTCCGAAACAGATACACAAGCTGTAAAAATTCAAGAGCTGCACAACATTCATTTCTTCTCACTGCGTTCTCTTCCCTCCAGCAACTGACTGCCACAACCACTCACACTACCAATTAGTGTTGGGCTTAAGATTTTATTTAATTTTAACACTCAGATAATTAATAGTAAAAACAGAGGGAAACGTAACTTTCACATTTTCCTGTTAAATAGCTGACTAGACATTTCCTAATTAAGTCATCAACTAGCCACAGAGCTACGTTTTCTAATGAATGATGAAGACACCACATTGATGAAGAGATCCTGTACATTTCCCCCCGCCCCCCAGCAACCAAAGTTGAAAACAGTTCCACGGACTGTTTATTTACAACAGTTAAACTAAGCATTTAACTTGCTTGGAACTAATTGATGCAAATAAAAACATTCATTAACATGACACCACTGTTTGGTAACTTAATTTTATTTGTTTCAATCTCCGTTGATTTATAAAGGGGTGGAGGAAAATTGAGAAGTTTTTGCTGTGCGATCTCTGCAACCATTGCTTCAGGTACTTCCCTCCAGTTCCATCCTGGATGCTCTCCAGTCAGGCTTCCAGCCATTCCACACCACTGACACTGCTCTCATCAAGATCTGTAATGACCACTTCATCGGCAAATCCCAGGGCCCCCAATCTGTCTTCATCCTCCCTGATTTCTCTGCTGCTTTTCACACTGTTAATCACATCCATCTTCCTTCAAAATCGAGTCCTTTTGTTTTCATTATAGTGTCCTTGGCTGCTTCTCTTCCTACCTCTTGTGTGATTCTTTCTGCATCTATTTGGTTGGATCCTCTCCCATTTGTCTTTCCTACTCTCCGGGGGGATCACACAGATCTGTCCTTGATTCCTTCCTCTTCACTGGCTACACTTTTCTTTGGGTGATCTCTACTTACACAGCTTCAACCACCATCTTTACACCACCAACTCACAAATCTACCTTTCCACTCCTGACTGTTTCTAACCAGTCCCATTTCTCAGCCCATCTCTCTCACATCTCTTCCTGGATGTCTCTCTGCCAACCTAAATTTAACATGGGCCAAACAATGCCTGATTTTTCCTCCCAGGCCTTTCCCAATGCCCCCAATATCTTCCATTGTTAAAAGTATTACAGTACAACAGTCATCCAAGCCTGGTGAAGTATACAGAAAAAAGCAAATTCATGATGAACTCAAAGCAGCCAACTGGGCATTATAGTCCATAACAAAACAGTTCTCTTGATGTTAGGCCCCTGACTGGGCCAGGATAGGACAAGGTTCTGGCTTCACAAAAAGCTAGCCCTTAGCCTAGTAGAAGCAGCCAGTCCTTTTTATCTGGTCTGCTGGATTCTGATTGGCCTCTGCCTGCCCCCAGCCCTTCTAGGCACTGGAGGACCAACTCTCGCTGTTCTGCCTAGCTGATTATAGGAGGCCTCTCTAGGCAACCTCTGGAGATCCAAACTCGCTATTCTTCCCTTCCAGCAGGACACCTTTTTATGACGGGGTGCACCAAGAGGGCAGAGCCTCTGGCAAGGGCAGCAAACGCGTGGGTACACCCCATCACACAATAGTACACTGAAGATTATCATGCTGATCTTCAAGGAGACAGAGATGATGATGAGCCTGGACCTTTAAGAGACAGTTAAAAAGAAAACCCCTGCCCAAAAAAGCTTGAAGTATAAAAGGCTAATTGTTAATATCTCATTACCAATCCCCTGGGTCACCCACCCCCCTTAGTTGTCATACACTATTTTTCCACCTACATGCAGCCTTTTTCCTGAACATTTAACAAGGAGTGAAGCAAACTACTGCCAGAATCACTGGGTTCATTTTGACACTAGATGTTAACAGAACAAGTATTTTTAGTAATTCTATTTCCTGCTTTTACAGACCATTCCATTTTATCTGTATTTAGTTTCCAATATCAGAAAACAAACAGTACTACAGTATTGACAGGAAATACAATCTTCCAGTACAAGCGGAGAGATTGCTTGTGTGCTTTATGTAGTCTGTTTAATCACTTCAAACGTCAATATCAGAGATTCTGTTTTAGTTCACATTTTACACATTAAGTGATCCATGGGAAGAATTATCTTAAATTGCTCTATTGCTTTAGTGGACATGGTAGATATAGGGATATATTTTATTAGACTAGCCAATAATTTACAAGCATGTATTACATAAGAATTCAGCTGAAAACAATATTCCCTTTGTAATTACTATCTGTTCTAGTCCTGAGGCTGACTCATTTTTTAAAAAAAATTAGTTGGTTAAATGCTAGTTTATCAGCTGGAAAGTTATTCTTTAAGGTGCCTATGTGTTACCCTAAAGATGAACATGTGACACTGACAACATCTACTTGTTTTTCCACAGGAACTTTTTCACTTCTTTATAAATTACATGATTATCCAACGTGCTAAAAATATTAATTCCCCTTCTCCCTACAATCTAATACTGCACTTGCAAAACTCATCTCAAGATGAATTAAGAATGAGGTGTCTAATCATATCAACAAGATCTTATGAATAAATCAGTAAGATTTAACAGAATTTAACCTGGGTTCTAGCCCAACTATGTAATTCAATAGGGACCACTACTTAGTCATTGTGGATCTGATCCAATGCTCATTGATGTGAACAGAAAGAATCCCATTGACTTCAGTGAGCATTATCAAGACTTGGAAGCATAGTTTCCTCCCAATTATGCCATCTCTCATCCTATATTTTTCATGGGCAAGATCTTCAGATGATATAGCTGCATTGAATCAGTTGATTTACACCTGCGGAGGATCTTGCCCAGTGGTGACTGGAGTTTTAGTTTATATATTCATCTTCTTAAACATTTCTACAACTATTACTCTGAGTAAAAATATAACTACCATCTCATTGAAAATATGTACTGGATGACAATATGAACCCTTATTTTTATGATCTAAAGAAAATATTTTTCTTTCACATCTTCCCCTCTTAATCACTAATCACGCTACTCTCAGATTCTTTTGGTATCTTCTTCCTCCTTGATTTTCACACACTCCTAACTTTTAGGAGGACTAAATCATTATTAATTATTTGTATTACAGTAGCATTTAGGAGCTGTAATGAAGGCCCAGGGCCCCATTGTGCTAAGCTATCACATGCTAGCTAACCCCTACCTTCTTCCTATTGTAGCTACAGGGTAACACTATGCATCTTAATTTCAGGCAGTGGAGTTGCAGGTTAGGATCCTGTTTCTGAACCCAAACTGTACTGTTGTGTTGCTGTGCATGTCCCAAAATATCATGTAGTTTTCTGAAAAATGACACTATTTCAGTGGTAGTTAAGTGATAGCCGCATACTGTATGTGATTTGTAAACTGCTTTGTGATCCTTTAGAACGAAAGGTATAATAAATCATTAACACTAACAGTGGATCACCATGACCCCATACCTCTTAAAAGCTTACTCCGGTATTTCTGTAGATGGAAACTACAGCTCCTCTTGTGCTGCCTTCCATGATCTTGGATATCTGACACGTTAACCCTGACTGGTCTCACTTCTTCTCCCAAGATCAGATTCTAGTCAATGAATATGACTGCAGTGAGAGAGATGAGAAACTCTTAAATTCAAACCTAGTTTTGAATCTTTTGGTTTTTTCCATGTGTGCATTTTGATTTTCCCACCACCACAAAAACCAACCAATAAAATAGGGCAGGTAATTGTAACACATTTTGTCCCACTCCAATCACTGGCATCATGCTGTAGAGAAAACATACAGAACAGCTACTTCACGTTTTGGAGAGTAATTTGTCATGCAGGAAGTTACTTCAATTAGGCACAAGCTCCCATGTTCTTGGGGTACTCAAATCTTTTCAAGTACTGTATTTTAGGACTATAAATGGACATTTTTGGATTAGATGAGTAAAAAAAAAAAGAAGAAGACGACGACTGTCCTTTCAACTACACTTTATAAACCACATTACTTTCCTCAGTTCAGAAATAAAAATCTACCTTGGGGAGAAGGAGGGGGGAGTTCCTTTGTAAACCATTGTTTTATACTTAGATGACAGTTTAAGTTGGAATGCCGCAACTGCCAGTGATCAGTTTTTAAAAGAGCACAAAGAAATTCATCCAAGACATCACAGGGTACAAGTCTGGCAATTTACAGAGGTGACCTTTCCATGAGTCTAACAAGAAGTTATTGTTTCCTTCCAAGATTATCCACAATAACTTCCTCAGAGCAATAAAATGTTCCAGACAACTGACTCTCTTTTGTGATACAACCAGAAATAATCTCACTCACTTATAACAGAAGCAATCTGAGAAGCTACTGGGGTGCATGGATAAGCCCAAACAGGCTTATTTTTCTGCTATATAACAAATCAGCCTCACACACACACTGAGAATTTTTCCCATTAGCTTCAAGTTTACTGGTCTCTATTATGGCTTTCCTTTTACTTATGTACATTGTAATGCTATCCATCATTTTGTTATTCACACACATATTTGAGGGATAAAAAAGTAGCAATAACTCTTGTATTTTGAGTTACAAATACAGGAAGTACTCTTTCTTTTTGTTGCAGATGTCAGAATTTCTTTTTGTGACTAGCCATTTAATCTGAAGTAGCCGGGGGGAAAAAAATCCTTCATCTAAATATGGATTTGGCTGCAGACATTTACCTAGGATTGCAGAAGTGGTTCCCAGGCATGGATAACTTTATCTGGTGCTTATATACAAGTCACAGGTAACAATCCTTCGATTATATCATGGCCATTGTCCTACTCTCTGGTAAAGAATGGTGTATCTGTACCCGCTGTATTTTCAATAACGATCAATAAAAGACTGTGTTCTGTCCTATAATTTAAAAGAATAGCACATTTCCCCCTTTCTTCCTCTTCAAAACACCTTGTAAACAACTAGCCAAGTACGTCAGTGTAGTGTGGCCTGACCCCATGACTGACTATCCATAGCTAAGGTGATAGCAAGTTTTCCATTATTTTGTAATTTAAAAAGAAAATGTAGGTGTAATTAATTTTTTGAAAAATATTAACTCCTCCTTCCCTCGTGCCCCCAAGAATCTGAATTCTCCTGCTTGTTTTCTTCAGGATCTCACACCCAATAAAGCATCTCTTCCCATCATCCTTAGGTACCTATAAGCCCCCCATTCCTGTAGTATCTGAGCACCTCACGATCTTTAATGCATTCATCCTTACAACACACCTGTGAGGTAGGGAAGAACTTGATAGAGGGGGAAGTGAGGCACAGAAGGACTAAGGTCACACAGGAAGTATGGGGTGGAGCAGGGAATTGAACTCAGGTGAGCACTTGACCCCTGGGGCAGCTGTCTACTTTCTGTTGTAAGCATCCACCCTCAAAGTCATTAGCCTTTGCCCCAGGAATTTCCCGGCTTGGGCTTCACCAATTCAAGGAGAATTGCTGCTGGAGACCAGACATTGACATATGAGCTCTGCAGCTAGCTGCCTCCTGCCTGCTGGCCCTGCTGCTCCTGTACTATAGTAAGTCAGACTAGGAAAGGGAGAATGGAGGAGCCAGTAGAGCAAGAAGAGGCTGCTGCCAGCTGTAGAGAAGAAGCAGTGGGCAATGATCCCTGGCTGAAGAAGCCTAGAGATGCGGGATTTTAATACAATGCTGTCTCTGCAGGGATGGAGGCGTAGAGCTCCTCTTGGCAGTAGTATTTTCACAATGGATCTCCATGAGCTCCCACAGAGCTCTCCTGCCCATTACTGCATGGGAGAGTTCCTCACTTAACTCATTAGGCATGTAAAGACATGCCCCCAAGTACCAATGGGGCAATAGTAAACCATCCCACTCCCATTGTAAAATGCCTCCGCTATATATGAGCTCTGACTGGGAGAGCTCATTGTCAGGTCTCCCCATTTCCTAAACCAAGACAATGAAACCTGCTTCGCCACCACCCCTCCCCCTGAGAGAAACATAACAGAATGGGAGACTTAGACCTTTTTTAAAAAAGGAAAGTATGTGAAATTCCCTGTTCCCACTGATTCTGTCTGGAAACAAGCCATTATCCTAATACAAACACCAACACCAGTTTGTTCAGACTAGAGGGTTTATTGACAATACATAAAAGTATGTTAAAGCTACTGAGAGTAAACACAGGCCGTACACAGTAAATCAAAACAAACAATGGCAGTGCCAGCGAATATTCCATATTCAGTCAATTACAAGGTTGCACTGCCAATAATTAAAGAAAGAATCAATAACACCCACTACAAATCATAACCATTAATCCCAGTGTGCAATTGCTGGGGCTTGGTAGTGTGATTTGCTAACAGGTTTCACATCAGTGACCGTGATTCTTGACAACAGCCATTGCCAAGTACTTATCGATCAGTCATCCAAAAAAAAAAAAAAAAAGAGGCGCGCACACAAGGACAGATCCTCAACCCAGTGGCCAGCCTCAGTAGCTCTAGATTTGGGGGAAGGAGAAGAAGAAGAGAATTCTCACCACTGGCAACTGAGAGGCAACAGAGCCACTCCACAGTTATTACAGCCCGAAGTGCAATCCACCCCATATCCCTGTGAGGCACCCCTCCACATAGACTCTGTCCTATCCAGAGGGTATGTAGCAGTAGATCCTTCAAGCTCTTTCCTTGCCACCAAGGTTTGTAGTAAAGTTGTGACACAGAAGAGCTGATAAGACACCGGTCCTTATTTCCAGGCTTCAGTCACATGATATAGGTCAGAGTTATAAAAGATTAGTTCACTTGGCATATGGTAGGGGACAGTATCAACTGTTGCTAGTGGCTACATCTTCCCTTTCCCCTCCCCCCCCCACTTTTTTCAAAATCAAATGCAAATAGAACAATGTAATAATTGCAATTGACCTTGATACTGACCAAGAACAACAAACCCAAAATAGAGACAGTTAAAGCACACAAATGAAGACATCTAGGCTGGCAGTCAGAGTAGGCCCCCTGAACTCCCTAGAGAGATTATTAATTTGTAGAAGTACCTAGCATCTCCAACTGAGATTGGGACCCCATTGTGCTGGGCACTGTTCAAACACACACACACAAACACACAAGACACCCCTGCCCCAAACCTAGGTAGACAAGACAGAGAAAGGAAGTATTATTACACCCATTTTACAGATGGGAAACTGAGACAGAGATTAAATGACTTGCCCAACATCATACATGGAATGTGTAGGCAGAGGTCAGCAGTTAACCCAAACATCCTGCACCCCAGTGCAGTGCCTTAACCCCAAGGAGAGCCTGTCTCTCATAGGAGAGAATTATTTGGCCCCTTACTGGATATCTGTCAATAACTGCTCTCTCGGAACCTCGAGAACTTTCTGATAACATGTCCTCTTGTTCTCAAAATAATTGCTTCTGCAGTGGCTTGCTCGACCACTGGGAAGGTGTCTCTTCTCTCAACATAAGGAGACTTTCTGTGTTTTTTTCAGAAGATCCAGAATACTGCTGAGCCACCGTCCTCCTTCATTGTGTTTAGATGTCTTCTGTGCTTTATGTAGGAATTACACCTGTGCATAGCTACACCATATGATTTGGATGTGGTAAATATATCTGCTAGCTTAACAAGTTACCAGACACTTTGTCAAACAATCACTCCCACTGAAAAGTGGAAGAGAATATTTATATTTGAAGCATTCTTGTTACAGTAACTACATGAGAGTTTAGCTCAAAAAACTTTAGACGTTGAAAGCCATTTTCTGTTTGAAATCTAACAATTTAGCCCTACGAGATATTAAAAAAATCATTTGAAGAAATTTTTAATGATTTTTTTTTAAAAAAGCACCTCTAAAATGCACCTACTATTTCACACTTCCAACAGCCCTCTAAAAATATGCATCCACTTGTGTGCATAACTAAGGGTTTCTTCACTCGCAAAAGAAGTAGATTTGCAACCATCCATTTTGCTCACACAACATGTAAGATTTGGGAATAGATCCAAAGCTCACTGAAATCAAAGGGAAGACGCTTCACTGACTTTGACAGGCTTTAGATCAGGTCATTGGTGCATAAATGCATAATAAACACCTACCGCCTGTATATGGATTTTCATCAGTAGATCACAAAGTGATTATGAAGGAGGGCTCTGTCATTACCCCCATTTTACAATGGAGAAACTGAGGCACAGGAAGGTGAAGTGACTTGTACCCACCAGGCCAGTGATTAAATCAGGACTAGAACACAAGTCTCCTAAGTCTCAATCCAGTGCCCTGTATACCAGGTCAGACTGCTTCCCTTTTTTGCACCAGCAAAATAATTTAGGTATGTTTTTGGAGGTCCATTGAAACTATGACATTCTAGATTGTGGTTCACCAACATTTTCAGTATGCAGTCCTTTTCAGAAGCAAGATCCTGTTATGGTTGCATTTTCCTCCCAATCCCGCAGAAGTCTCCAGTTGTTCTGGTGGTTTGTCACAGACCACTGTTTGAGAACCACTAAGAGCAATAAAGAGCAATTTCTTGTGTGACAAAGTTCCTCCTCTACCTTGGTGGGTCTTGTGCTTATTGGCGGATTTGCTCACCTTGGAGCTTCACGGCAGTCCTCAGTTTGGCCGTTTTCATGAACCCACAGTCCAGGTCAACTCCTCCCATGTCTGACCAGGAGTTGGGAGGTTTGGGGGGAACCTGGGCCAGCCCTCTATTCTGGGTTCCAGCCCAGGGCCCTGTGGATTGCAGCTGTCTAGAGTGCCTCCTGGAACAGCTGTGCGACAGCTACAACTCCCTGGGCTACTTCCCCATGGCCTCCTCCCAACACCTTCTTTATCCTCACCATAGGACCTTCCTCCTGGTGTCTGATAATGCTTGTACTCCTGAGTCCTCCAACAGTATGCTTTCTCACTCTCAGCTCCTAGCACCTCTTGCTCCCAGCTCCTTACACGCGCACCACAAACTGAAGTGAGCTCCTTTTTAAACCCAGGTGCCCTGATTAGCCTGCCTTAATTGATTCTAGTAGCTTCTTGATTGGCTGAAGGTGTTCTAATCAGCCTGTCTCTCTTTATTGTCTCAAGAAGCTTCCTGATTGTTCTGGCACCTTCCCTGTTACCTTACCCAGGGAAAAGGGACCTACTTAACCTGGGGCTAATATATCTGCCTTCTATTACTCTCCTGTAGCCGTCCGGCCCGACCTTGTCACACTTGGCTTGATAGGTTAACACATACAAAATCACAGCTAATTAAACTAAAAACCATAGCAAAACTGAGCCCTTGCCTAGAATAGGACTGTGTAAAACATTGGTCTGGAAGCAGAACACACCCCTACTCTGCATAGACTTGCATTTTACTGTTTGCAAACTTTAAATGTTTTCTTGGAAATTTTATACTTCCAAGAAGTAATCAGAACCTCCATGGCACCCTCAAATCAGTATTTGTGAGGCTGCTTTGTTATTCCTGAGAGGACAGGGGAAACCAAACAAACCACAATGACTGATAACAGATCCATGTGCTGTACACATATAGACATCACAATCTTTTAAACCGGACACATGCACTATCATAGATAGAACCAGCATTATCAGTTCCAGAATCACAAGTTCCTGACCTATGAGCGGAAGGGAAACCTCCACAAGTAGCTGCACTATTAAGACTTGTATCCTCTATGGGCCAATAAGTAACGAGACAGTTTCCCCTGAGCAGGGCTGTCATTCCATTCAGCATTAGATAGCAATGAAGATACACATACTTAGCCACTGCATTACAAGTATCCATTGATGTGGCATGGTTAACAAACAACAGTTCATCAAACTAGTTTGGCTCATCCCGACTCCTAACAGGATTAAAATTTGCCTTTAGTTAACAATTAACAGATGTTTTTTCTCTCTTGCAGCTGACACTTTTTGTAACACTAGCCATAGTTCTA